ACATTTCATACGCCGCTCAAAACCGTACGTAAACCAAGTCTCCATGATTGGAAACATTAGGAATTTGAACTTGAAAACTGTTCCTTCGACAATTTTTCAAAAACTTAGCTATAACACACTTTCCAGAAGAAGGAAAACTCACCAGAATCCAAGTAAACTTCTGCTGGAAACACTGGAGGATGAGCGGCTAATATAGTGCACAGCGGGCCTTGTGCGACTGTTTCTTCTGACCGAAAGGTCCGGATCAGGCATACCGTCTTTGGGTCGAACCTTCAAAGAATCCTATGTTCAACAAAAGAACAGTATAGTCTCATAATTGCGAATACAGGTGGTTTCAACCAAATAACAGAATCATGCAACAATAAAAAGACTGAATGTACTCATCTACCGCGTCAACATCGCAGCCGAAGGTTTTGTATGAATAATATTAAACTACGGTGGCCGCATATCTCATGCAATTACGGTCTTCTGTCGTCAAGTATCGTTTTGCGCGCGAAACTCCGCTATTTGAATTTGTGCGCACTTTGTTCGCGCGTTCTCCATGTTTGGTTGATTATCTTATCAAGTACTTATTCCGTTCTTTTCTCTTTCAAGATGTTAGGAAGTTAATGCTGCCCTACTTCCTATTCTGGAATATAGATTTCTGCTTAAGCCTGTCCTTGGGGTTTAATGAGTGCTCTGACTGCATGACTAGAACCTTCATAAATAAGCTTCTACAAGAAAAACCGAAAATTCGACCTATGACCTTCTGGCTGGGTTTTTCCAAAATACAAAAACTAAAATTCGCAGGTCGTAGAGCTCACACTGCACAGCCTCTCTTTGACTTTACATGTGCCCTATACCATATAAAAAGAACTGGAAGCATGTCGGGGGAACCGTTTTTCCAGAAAATTCGCTGTACATAGTGATTTTCAAACCAATACATGCATGCATGGCACTGTTCAACTATTAATATCCCAAAATCTCAATTTTTTTTCTGCTGGCTCTTTGCGTTAAGGGATTACTACGTGTCCTGATCTGAACAAATAAAGAACCAATAATAATGACACTAATAACCCTTTTACACAAATTTTCAGCTCTGGTGAAAACAGCTTTCCGTGCACAGACCAAAGGACATACAATAAAACCCTATGAATATGTTTCTTGGCGTGTTTCAATTTCTCTGTGCTACTGCAGCTCATATTTAAACGACTTGAAGACAACGGCCACTGAATAAAACTCATTCAACCGTGGCTTAAACTAAACTTGTTCACCGTAGAAAAATTATCTAACCTCAGAGTAACGTTGTCTGGTTCCAGGAGATGTCGGATGCAGAGAATGAAGTGGAATGTCGTCGTTCATCACGTCGACGTGAAAGTGCGCAAAAGCAAAGTCGGCGAAGTGCGCTCGAGGCCATGAAAGAGGCTCGGCGACTGGGGAAGGTACACCGTGTCGACGTGAGTTGTCAGGTTTCTTAAAGTTCAAACATCAAAAAACGTCCGATTCACAGCAAAACGATGCATTACAATAGAGACGCCTCGTTTCTTATGTAACGGCTGAAATGGTACTTAAGCGATTGAAAATGGGGCGATTCAACAGAAATAGGGCGATCAAACTGTTTCGTGGAACTTGCTCGCAAACGTGTATTTTTGGCCGAACGGCACTTAACACACTAAACATTGCACGTGATATGTCGCGTGTTATCGTGTGCTATCCTGATAGTGACAAAAGGAAACTGACAGTGATTTCCAGTAGGGATAACTGGAACTGCGGTCAGTTGGATGAGAGGGGAGGGACATTTACAGGGTTCCTCGCGCAAAACTTGGACTACCCTTATGCGAACCCCTTTTTGCTCATTGGCGCCAGAAATCCTCATCTCTTTCACTGCAATCCGTGTTTTGCACACTTGAGTGCCTCCCTTGTTAACGACCAGTGAACCTTGAAAATTTATAACTTCTGACCTTTCTCTCGGGAGCGCGCTTTATTTTTCTGAAAGGGCAAAAAAGAATTTTGAAACAATGACTCCAATCTATCTCCAGAATACTCGTTGATGATTTCACTCCACTTTGTTTTGACATAGATGGGAACCATTGTCACTCTTCGTGCCTTAAGTGAGCTCTAGCGCAGGTGGCACGGCTCTGTAGCGTCCTCTCCTCCTCCTATTCGCGTCACTAGCTTTCAATGTAGAGCGCATGGTCAGGTTTACGCTCCTTGTATTTTCCATGGAATCGTTTGAACTGAATGAATGGCAGAAAAAGGACATGTACATAACAGCTGCAAACGCTCGTTGTGGTATTATGGAATGAAGGATAAAAAAAAGAAAAAAATTCTCATGCTACTTCCATTCAGAACCATAGTGGGTCATTGAATGCGAGATAGCCCATTAACAATGATTTGTGGGGGCCAGCCGATCTATAAGTCAGTTTTTTCATTCCCCAGCAGAATCTGGCGCCATTTCACCGTTCGCAAAGAGTAGACGACTTGAACAGCTTGGGCGGAACCCGTGCGGTAATCGACTCCTGACTGCGTGATAAGCGGGCTACTTGCCACTGCACCTTCTCTGCCACAGTCCTCTGAAAGTCACCTTCTACGACAATGCCCATCCCATTTTGCTAATTTCTATGAGAGATGCCCATCCCATTTTGTTAGGGACGCTAGCCGTCAGCAGCAGGAGGAGAGATGAGCTGCGATACCTCCTCCGACATTTACCCCTCCAGCTTCCACCTTATACGACTCTTCAAGAGTCATCTTTCAAAATGAAGCTTCTGTAACTAGAGTACATCAGGTTCATACTGGGTAAATTTCTCGAGGCGCAACATTAGCAGTTTTCGGAATGTGGGAGCCACGTGCCAGCAGTGAGATGGAAAGAAGGCCACTGACAGCACACGTTGTATGTTGGAAAATCCCCAGCGGGGGTCGTAATTGGTAGGTGGTGGTGGGGGGGGGGGTCGTATTGAGCCGGAGACAATTTTTTTGATAGTTGATTTTTCCTAGTTCACGCGGTACTCCCTCCCGCTCTCCCTAGTGAATTGCTTTATAACGACCCCTTCCCCACTCGAAGACACTTTTTTGAGAAAACTGGAAAATTTTCCGGAAAACTGGGGAAAAAGTGATAGGAAGCTGGGGTCAAGAAGGTGGCAAGAAGTTATGTAGGATGGGGAAGGGAATTATTTTCTCCGGAAAATCTTCACGGAAGAACCGTGGTCATCACTGATGCTTATGATGATTATAGTGTAGAGTAGTTGTTGCCGACTGATTCCATGCAACAACGAACTCCCTTAGGATACCTTTCCTCATGATAGACTCGGAAGACTGGAAGGAGCAGCGAACCATTAAAGAAATAGATAAGGAAAGAGTCAAAGCGATCAAAGGACAAGAAGAAGATAAATTCTCAAAAAAAACTGCCCCACACTTGGTGCGCAAATGAATGAAAGACGGATGATGTTGAAAAACCCACCAGTGTGTCACCACTATTTGGATTTGTTCAGCTGAATGCATAAAAATTTTCATGGAGACAAAGTACAAGAGAACTTGGCGCTAGGAATGGATTACAGATGTAAAAACATGCCGAACGTATGTCTGCCGATGCGTTTTGGCGATTAAGGAGGGCGAGGGTGGGGGGGGGACAGCCCAAACTTCTATTGGCATTACAAACTTTCAAAGAACTTGTTATCTTCAAAGCTCAATTTCCCTCTGACTTTTACCCTCCATATCCCGGAGATGGAGGGGCGTAACCGCCGCAGCTACGCCCCCTCCATCTCCAGGATACGGACTATATGCGGGTCTAACTGTCAGAATAAAACCTAAAATTTTGCGGAACGTCAGACCGTGAGCGCAAATTCCTTCATAGCTCTTGCTCGCTGGGGATGATGAGGCGTTCAGGAGGGATGGGCCTGGCGCAGCGCTAAACTCGATTTCCACCAGTTAATGAGGCTAACAAGCGACAATACTGTATCATATCGTTCACATCAGTTGTTTTCCATCATTTATGTTGCTTACCCACTTGTGGGGAACAAGCTGGCGGCGCGCCGAACCCAGCCTCTTCTGAATCTCTCCATCATTCGCAGCGAACAGGACGTATGGCCCCTACCGTAGCTTGGAAGGGTCACTTAATGTACAAAGAAAGGAAGAAATAAAATGCATCGAGAAAACTAAGCCAAAAGGCTCGTTTTATCGCTGCCTCAGATGAACAGGGTTAGTTCGTCAGCCTGGGGACCTGCTCGCAGTTGAAGGGATTCTGAGCCAGACGGATTCTGGTTCATGGATTTTAGGAGCTGATGTGCTGTAGTATCAAGTACTCCCCTCCCCTCTCCCTTGAGGCGGTCAAGTCCCGATCGGGTTCTGCCCATGCAACCTACTTCCACACCCATGGGCTAGTAACATTGCGCCACAGTTGATGGTATAGGCCAAACGGGGGGTACGAATAGAAGTGTAATGCATGCCGCATCCCAAAAGGCTGGTTGATTACAGATGAAATGTTTATTTTTGCTTTAATCTGAATGTCTCGAGCGTCACTTTATAATAGCAATTGTCATTTTTCAGCTCGATAGCCTTATTGGAAATGTTTACGAAGAGGTTGATGAAGAGGAATACAATGAGATCGTGCGTAAGCGACAGGCAGCTGATTTCGTAGTTGATGATGGTATGTTGAAAAAGTCAAATCAAATCGCCATCATTGGAGGAATCTAATCGGCAACCAAAGACCAAAAATCTGAATGTTGAACGACTAGCTTGCACTTTATCGAACCAGAGTTCGGACTGCCCTAATTAGCAAGCGACCTTGATGTGACTCATTGCTTACACATCTAACGAACACACTGAAACGTTCCTTTTCAGGCATTGGGAAGAGATGGTCATGTGCGTCTGTTAAAGCGTAGCGTCATCGTTTACTGTGTGAAAAGCTTTTTAGCTAGTATTTTTCGCATGTTGCTTTCGAACTGTGATTCTACTGTAGCAGAAAAAACTATGAATAGACCCAACTCTGAAAAGGCCAGAAATTTCCAGAGCTTTGCTGGGCTCCCTTTGGGTAGTATACCGTAATTTGGTTTTCATAGACGGATGTGCGAGGAAGTGCTTGCAGATTACTTTGATAGCTGGATTGAAAAGATCAAGAAATGCATTGAAACTACGGGGCGTAGTTTCGGCTTGTTGAAGGTTTTTTCCTTTGCTGTGAAGCGTATCCTTGTTTGAGCTACTTTGATAGCATTTTTCGGCCTTTTCCAAGAAAATAGGGCCATCTTGGGGTTACAGGATCTTCGGAGTAATGTCCAGGAATGATTTACTTATAAATAGGCTTGATTATTCCTTAGAAAACCGGAGACTTTTCTTTCTATTTTTCAGTTTCACCATGGAAGTTATAGTGATTTCCAGATGGAAGCGGCTATGTCGACCATGGCGCGGACATATTCGATGACGAAGAGGAAGATTACGAAGAAGAAGTCAGTAAAAAGAGTAAGAAAAAGAAAGAAAAGAAAGGTGAGCTTAAATTCTGCCATTTCGAGTGCTGTTAGACTGCTATATTTGCAACCGGTTCAAGTCAAAAAAGTTCGTTTTTGCCAGAGTTCATCATTTTTGGTCTGATTTGAGTGGTGAGTCGTAGGGTGTTCCTCCTCCCCGAAGAGCTCTTACTTCAATGCTTGCATCCAAAAAGCTGCCGCTCAAGCTCATAGAGTATTTTCTACGAGCTTGAGCAGGTTAGCTGGGGAAGTTCGGGGAGAAGTTCGCTTCAAAAATTAAAGGTGTTTTCTCTCCAGTCGAAGGCGAGACTCGGCCACCTAATCCAAATAAGCTTCGAAATGCGGAATCGCGGGCTTTGGTGCATGAGAACGTTGTTCGAACACAAAAAAATGTGCACACTGAAATTGGTTCCGAAATGTGCAGGCGTTTCTAGTTTACATTCACTTCATTGTTCAAATTAATCATTGTTCAGAGCAAAAAGTTGGATATACTGCACACACCCAATAGATGGTTCAGGCGCAGCACGGCTTCGTGGGGGCACTGAATAGTGCTAAGCTAAGGTTGTACAGGTCAACTTTGTTGAAACCTCTAAATTACAGTGACCGAACCTGGTTCACTCGAACATTTTGCAGCTTCACAGGAGTTTACAGATCTAAGCAAAGTGAGACGTGTTCATTAATACGAACTGAAAAAAAAACTAGCGAATGTGCAGCATGCCCTCTCCAAGCTGAAGGCAGTAATTCTTCTTTATTTACCATGGCAGTCTAAAAAAATGGAAATTCTCAAGTAACATTGGAAATTAAACATTTTTCAGATGCGATTTCCAAAAAGGGTCTAGACAGCTATTTTGCGCCGGCAGCACATATTCGTGGCAAAGTGAAAGACGATGTAAGCAATGACTAGACAGACTGTCACCATTTGTTGTTAAACGTTATTCTCATATGAAATTCCAAAGAAAGTGGAGAAATCAATTCGGAATTTACATGTTGTTCGTCGTGAGAATGATTTTCATATTCAAGACTGAAGTCAAACTTGAAGACGATGAAGATCTGAAGAATATGCTAGCCGGTATCAATGACGAAGCTTTGGAGATGGATTTTTGCCCAGAACCATCTCCCTGCTCCAGCGAGCAGTTCTTCACGAAATCCGTTCAAGAGAGAAGGTACGAAAGCGAATTTCATTCGCTTTATGGTTTTGTTAGTTGTGCTAGGGCAAGATCTTGTGTTTCGTGATCTAGTATGAGAACTAGGAAGTTTTAAGTGCAGTAGGAAGTTTGTTAGGTCAGGTTAAAAGAATGTGTTCAGCCTCTCCGACAATTGTTCCGCGTAAAGTGAAAGTGATGAGACTGGCGACGCCCACGTCTCGAAGCGCTCCGATCCGCTGCACACAGAACGAGCCAAAGAACCACGTGAAGGCGGAAGTGCACGTGGTAAGAATCGTGCTCCAAATAGAATTTTGTACTTTCCTGAGTTTTGCTCCAAAATGCATTACAACTTTCAAAGTTCGCTGTTTTTAAAGACCTATGAACTTGTTTTCAACTTTTTTCTTAAAGTTGGATGTTTGTTTATTTATTTTTTTATATTTACTCCAGAGGCCTAGAATCAGAAACGTCTTCAAGCTAACAAAAGGGAAGAGGGAGTGAAAGAATCCGCTACAGGACTTCTATCGACATGGTATTCTTTCGCTAAGGGGTCCATAGGTATTATCTGTCGTAACTTCTGGTTGAGCATTTGGAGGGAGGAAAATAAGGAAAACGGAAGGGAGTAGGAAGGAAAGGAAAGAAGGAAGGAGGAGGAAAAAGGAAGGAAGACCACTGAGCCATCGAGCTAGGTTGTATTGGGTTCGGCCTAACCTTTTTACTAGTAGCAGTCTGAGAGGGCCATGTTGGAAGAAGGCTGCGCGGACAAGTTTTTTTTTCGCGATTCGCTTCAGATCTCGCAGTTGCTTTGTATAAATTATGGCAGGAACTTTCACTAACCTAATAATTGCCTCCCCTCTCGCTTTGCCAAAGTGCGCCTTAATGTTCCGATATCCTTGTAATGGCAGAAAGCTACGGGATATGCAGTATTACGGACATAACCGCTAGATCTCTAGAAACTGTGCGGGTTTAGATTTCTATAAGTGAAAGTTTTGCATTTCTGTGACTAGGTTTACGAGCAGGATAAATCATACAGGAAGGCCAGACGATATTTCTCTGTTTAACAGCTGACAGTTCTGGAAGGCGGTTAATTAGGTGGAAGAACCGTGGGAATTCTTTACCCATTTTGATTAAAATTGGAGTTCTGTGTGAGTCGTATTGGGGCCGCCATTGTCTATTCCGTGATGACATCAACACGTTGGCGGCAATCACATTTAGCGGCAAAGCGGCACGTGGGACAATGGCTTTTTTCACATGCGTCTGCTATGAGTCACGGTGACTCGTTTTGTCTCTCGTGGACCCCTTTTTTTACATTGTGTCAAATTTTGCAAAATGATGGGGAAGTTGCACGAAGTGCTATTCCTACAATCCATGACCCCGCTGGAAGTCTCCTCAAGCCACGCCAACGACCGCAGCCACTTTTCAGCGCAATCTGATTTTTCAAATTTCATACCACAACTGCTTCTATGGCTTTTTTGCATTTTTGTTTTTTCACAAATATAGAATGAACCATAGACTGCCATCACGACACATGGACGACTACGCCCTCTTTTTAACGAGTAATGATATGATGTTTTTCTCTTGAGTTGCTATTACCCGAAAACCTTTAGGATAGAAATGCTGGAACCTTGCCTATCGGGGTGGTTCAAGCGTTTTCATGTAGTTTTTTCGGTAAAGGCGCTGTCTGGGGCTCTGCTAAAGCTAAGCCCAGGGGAGTGATTCTTTCCACACACTCCGCTATGGTAGAGCGTTAACCACCAGAAAGCCTTACATAAACTGGCGCCGAAAATGAACGTTATGTTTCTTACCAGATGTTGAACATCTGCAGTGTGTACGTTTGCATCAGTTTTCGCAAAAAAAAGGTTGTGGCGCCAGTTTGGCGCCCACTGGCGCCAGGCGGCGTCAGCACCTACAAGGGAATGATATGTTCATAGTGAGTATGTCAGCTAAACATTTATAGAAAAGTGTATCGAATTCGGGGCCGAAAAAACTGCTAGCTCCAAAACGGCGCATATTGGCACCATATGGCGCCGACGGCCAAGTGCGATGTCACCCTCGTGGTCAGAGCGCGAGAAGCCCCTACATTCAAGGCTATTTTAAAGCCTCTGGCATAGCATTAGCTAGTTGCAGAACTCCAATTTTTTTGTTTTAATATCTCATGCAGACAGCAACGCTTTCATCGCTCATCGCTGTTTGGCTTCGCCTTTCACAAGTAATCAAGAAAAAGATCGATGGAAATTAAAGGCAATAACCCAAAAAAGGTGTGAGAGTTCATGAGCCACCGGTAGCTCATAATGTCACCAACGTGTTCAAGCCCGACTCCGCGCTCAGCCTGTCGAAGGAATCCTCCCTTGGAACAGTAGTCCAACGCATTACCGCAGAGGCTGTCCCACTTTCGCGGCTCCCTCCGTAACGAACGACGAGGGCGCTGCGGCCATCATAAGCTGCAGGCATACACAGTATATCTTACGATTTTTGATATTGAGGCTATGATAATCATTGAATTTCATTTTTATTTGTGATGGCGTCGATACTTCCTTGTGTCGGTAATTGTTTGATCGTTACTTTAGTGAATAAGTATTAATTATTGATAGGAGGATGACGATGACTATGGCGCACCAGATTTTGACGACTTTGAGGAGCCGGAGCCTAGCATGGCTCCTCCACCAGCACCTATTGTTCCGCCCGCGAACGCATCTGTCAAGAAAGTCGTTGAAAAGAAGATCGATAATGTTGTAAGGCTTTTTTAATTGTTAAAGCTGTATTCGAGAATGCGATTGATCTCCCATAGATTGAGGAAACGCCTAAAGAAATCAAAGTCGAGGACAACAAACCATCTACCAAAGCGGCTTCACAGATGATGTCTGCTGCTAACTGGGATGATGTTCAACCGACGTGAGTCTGCAGCAGTAAGGGTTTTCATAAGTGCCATTGTTGAATGCGCTAGTTTGCAGTTTGGATGAACCTGAGGTTCAAGTTGTAGCTGGTTCTGAAGCATTTTATGTGAAAGAGGACGGTAAACAGATGATCAGAATGTATTGGCTAGACGCATATGAAGATCCAATCTCATAGCGGTGAGTGGATCTCTAGTGGTGTTTTTCTCATACACTCCATTGCGTAGTACTTTCTATTTTCTCTATTTTCACGATGCTCAGTAACGTTAACAACATGTAAGCTCGCACTGGTGATATTCGGAGTGCCTTGCCACTTTGCGTCAGCATAGTGAGCGTATTACAGCGTTTTGAGCATTTCGGGCGCATCGCTTCGACGGACTGGGAAAGTAAAGGTATCGATCTAGCGTGCCCAGCGTACGTCAGCGTTTTCAGCGTTTTGAGGGCTGTATAGAAGTTTTCGCGGGCAATCGCTGAAAACGCTTTTGTACGCTCAAAACGCTAGATCGGTATCCATACTTTCCAATCGGTCAAAACGCTTCTGTGCGCTCGAAGTGCCTGAAATGTCTGAAAATGAAAAGGAAAATGAAAATTATTCCCCTCCTGAGAAAACGCATGTGTGCGGTTTGCCATGGGTTGAGTTATGCTTCTATATCAGATTATTTTCAGGAACTGTGTACCTATTTGGCCGCGTTAATGTTAGCGGGAATAAATGGGCCAGCTGTTGTGTTACTGTAAAGAATATTTTTCGACAAGTGTTCTTTTTGCCGAGAGATACGGTGAGTGTTGCCAAATTAAGCAGAACCTAATACCGTACCGGAAAAAGGTCGGAAATAACTTTTACCAAAGATTCTTGTGACTTTCATCGCTTTGTGCGCGAAAATCTTTTTTTCCATAGAGAATAGCCCAGGAAGCATATGGGAAGCTTTTGGTAGCTCTGGGTTCTAGAATAATGGTCCCATTAAAGTCCAAAAAAGTGAACTTTTAGATGGCGGTTTTTGTTTCCAGTTGTTTCATGTTTTCCATCTAATGTATTTCGTTGGATCCGCTTTTTTAAGTGCACGAATTTGGAGTGAATCTCATGTTTATATTTGGTCGCGTTCATACTTTGCGAGTGATGATATTCGGCTTTTCGGGAGACTCGGCGATGAGGGAGATTGCGCAACGAGGACAGTATACATATCGATCTGGCGACTGAGGAGTTTGAGCGGTTCGGTGATTTGACAGACTTACGAATATGGCGATTCAGAGAGTCGCCGAATCTCCGCAGTCGCCAGATGGACAGCTGTATTTTCTCCGTCGCGCGATCTCTCGAATTGCCGTGTTTGCCAAATCGCCGAATCTCTCCGTTCGCAAAGTATGAATGCGAATCTTGGCCGAAGGGGGAGCAACATGGAGCTCATGCAAACATGAACTTTCTGACTCAATTGTTGTTTTCTTTTTATAGAAATTATTCCGCGGACTCAATACATATGAACCCGTGAATGACGATGACGTCTTTGAGGAAATAAAAGCGGTTATGAAACGTCATTGTGGTACATCTTCTTTCAAGTGCAAGGTTAGTTGGTGCTAGTTTTGAGCACTGTTCGGCTTGGTGAGAGCAATGAAAGGTACCCAGCTTAGCTTTCACAGGCCACCTTCTGAAGACCTGTGAATTCTTGTCACTAGAATGGTTCACTCATACCATACCATTCCACAGTTTAACAGGAGTGAGATTTCCCCAAAGTGGACCTATTGTTAAACATGGCCTAACAAAAAGAACTAGAAAGAAGCGAAATATCCCACATAGTCGGACAGAGCCTCGGTTTTTTATGAAGCAATTTGGCTAGTTGGCCGCATGATGGCTCATTCTCTGGCGGCGATTTATTTTACCTGGATTTTGTTGGAGGAAGTTATCGTAATATGTACGACAATGAGGTTCATGGTTTGTTCTGATGCAAGAAAAACACTTTCCAGCAAACGAAGAAAAAGTTCATGAATGACGGAACCATAGCAGGAGAGTATTCTGGCGAAGAAGTGAAGGTTATAGAGGTGCAGTATGAGGTACGGTGCTTATTGAAGTTTTTGCTCAGAATTCCTTAGTATCAATAGCTTCAATTCAGAGTAACCATCCCAAACTGCCAAACGATCTTTCGGGAGATACTTTCTCTGCCGTTTTCAACACGACAGCTACAGCTATGGAGAGACTACTGGTGGAAAAGGCCATGATGGGACCGGGTTGGGTTGATATGACTAATTACGGTAAGATCGTAACACGCTCCATTATGGTAGTTGTTGACGTTCACATTAGTGCTTAAGTATGAGCAAAAGACTTGACCCGAGACGGGAACTGTACCCTACGCTTTACGCTTACTGGGCTAGTGTCTCAACCATTACAACACTGTCAAGGCCAATTTTCTTTTTTCGAAGTTTAACGGCTTGCGTGAAGTGTAGCGGATACGAGATCTGCCTTGAGTCGAGGGTTTTGCACGTAACTCAGCATTATTGAGGTATTCGATAATATCGTATCATTACTGTGGTATGTTCAGGCTTGCGGTAATTGCTGTCACAACATGTCGTTGGGATTCCCACGGGGGAAGGGTAGTTTTTAGTTAGTGAAAGGATTGGGTCGTGAATGCTGGCCTAATGATTTTTTTTGATTGTTAGCTTTCCCTGTTTTACGTGCGCCATACATTCACATCGTCGGGAGGGTCCCCATGGGCAAGGAAAGGGGGTTTGTCACTGTTGGTCGTTGGTAGAGGGTTGGGGGAGGGGTCATACCGGAAGGGTTTTCTAGGGGGGGGCGTGTTTTCTAGAAATTTCCCCAGCTTCGAACATTGATGTCTCTTTGTTTTACTCATACCACTTTCATCGAAGAATAGTAATAAATGAAATGTCATAGATGTCTTTCTTGCAGTTGAAGTAACGGCGAAACTATCGTACTGTGATTACGAGTTCACCGTCGATATGGAACGTATGCGGAATCTCACTTACAATACTTCGGTAACTCTTCCTGCTCCCCCGGTTCGCATGCTAGTCCTGAGCATGCTCACAACGTTGAACGAGAAGAAAGAGAACGAGGTATCATATTTGAAACATTTTAGCTTTTAATACTTTCTACTTTTGATCCTTTGCCGTATTGCACATTTCTATTCTTTTATTTCCATTCACCGTTTAGGTCACTGTTCAGTATTAGAGAGATAGAGAGAGACGGGGGAGATTGGGGTGTAGGAATACACATTACTAATCAGGAAAGGTCATCAGAGCCTTGCCATTTCCAATGAGGTGCACACCGTTGTGCGCGTCTTGAGACGGTGAACTCAAATCTGTCTTCAGAATTTGCGGAACGAGTCTCTGAGCGGAGTTATGGAGGGGTTTATCCCCGCGTAGTTGTTTTACATGCTATCGCGAGCAAACGTGGAAGCGTCTTTACATAAATGTATGGAGTCCTTCTGAAACGTGGTAGTAGAGCGCAACGGATAGCGAGTGGGTTTCCTAGGCGAGACCGTGGGATCAAGTTCCGGCGAGTAGCACATTTTTGCATTTGTCCAAGAATGTGGCAGACGAGGACATCTCTGCTCGCCTGCACCATCCTTTAAGGGACCTGCGATCAGTTTTGTTTGAAAGTGTAGACCCATTATGGCTGAAAGAGTGCTTGTGCTTGTCCCCCCTCGTAACACATGTTACAAGGGTTTTTGCAACGAAATACCATGATATCCATGTTCAGCGGGTCAATTTGCCTCTGAGGACAGGTTTCTAGCCAAATCTAACGTTAACCCAACTTGGAAAATATGGGCCATTCTATGGGCAATTAGCAGCAGGCTGGGGTCCACCATGGATGACAGGTCTTGGGATGGAATTTCCTACCGGTAATCAGGAAAATGACGCAGACGGCACGAATAAGTGAGCCAGTTTGTTCTTTGCGAAAAGACAGAACTGAAGAGTTTATTGCAGGCTGGGGTCCACCATGGATGACTGGTCTTGGGATGGAATTTCCTACCGGTAATCAGGAAAATGATGCAGACGGCACGAATAAGTGAGCCAGGTTGTTCTTTGCGAAAATACAGGACTGAAGAGTTATTTCAGCTCGCAGACCAGTCATCATCAGTATGCTAGTCGCAGTATCGTTGAGTCAGCCATGACTAACCTTACCCCAATTTTTTCGAAGCTGAGTCAGAACCTCAGATTTCGCTAAGGTGCCGTCTCTAGGGGTTATTTGACCCCCTGAACACGATATTTGATTTGCGCGAAAAGCGCTGTTAGTCGCGCCACAGGCCAACGCTTTGGCGCCTGCGCGCTCGGAAGAAGAAACCTCCATAACTCCGCTCAGAGAATCGTTCCGCAAATTTTGAAGATAGTTTTGAGTTCACCGTCTCAAGACGAGTACAATGATGTGCACCTCATTGCAAATGGCCAGGCTGACCTGTTGACCTTTTCTGGTAAAAGGGGGAGTCCTACACATAGGGAGATTTTTGGTCGCATATAAAAATTGCACGAAACGCAACGCTGTGTCATGATTATACTGTGTGTTAGCGGCTGGGATTAGCTTAAGCAAAGAAGGCACAGCACACTTTTGTTTTGACAAGCGTTCAAAAAGAATTCAGGGTATTAGCAAATAATATTTCAGGTGTGCATGATATCGACATTATACAATCCTTCGTGTAACTTGAGTAGTCCTAGTACGGAACAAAAGGATCTTCAACGATTGTGCAGTGAGTTTTTATGGATTTTTGGTAGTTTTTCTATGTTACCCGCCCCCATATGATGATCAATTTTTAGTGTTTACCAAACCACATGGCGGCGTGCTACCCTTCGATATAAAGGATCAGCTGACTAGGCGTGGCTTATCGGATATCGTAATGACGGCAGGGAATGAGAAAGCTTTGCTATCTCTGTTTCTCGCGAAAATACAGAAGTATGAACCAGATGTGATCGTGGTAAGTCCACTGATTAGCCTAAATTCGGGCACGATCGTAGGCGCAGGCGTATGTAGCCAACGTCATTAGTGGATGTTATGGCCAAATGCGCTCTCGCAGCCCTTACACCAAAGGCACTGGCAACAAGCGCCCGCCTCCTGCAGTCGTGCTCACTGCCTTTAAGCTCGTTACGAGGCCGTGCTGATCCAAGTCCCACGTTCAACGTCGTTCTTACCTGCTTGCTGTTTAGGGTCATGACCTTTCGGCTTCGATTGCTGTGTTGGTATCTCGTATGGATAAACTCAAAGTGGCGAACTGGTCGAGAACGAGTCGTTTGAAACGTACGGTAAATGTGGGCAAAGTGGCCCATAACAAAGCAGGACAATGGGAGTTAACCGCGGGTAGATTACTGGTGGATTCAAGGTGAAAATCTAACGGCCACTTGTGCATCATTTAGTTTTGTGGGCATTCATTTTGCTTGTGGTTTTTAGGCTTTCTGCTATGGAACTAGTACGGTCCCGTAGCTACGACCTATCCGAGCTTGTCGTGCAGTTGCTGGGAGACCAGAGAGAAAATATTTATGCAAACGAAGTGAGCGCGAAATTCAGGTGGGCCTTGAAACTTCAGAAAACCATTTCGTCGTCATGTGTTCATTTTTTAAATTTTCCCCATTCAAGCTCTTCACAGCAGCTACTCAACCTTATTCAGTGGAGTTGGATGGATCCATGGTTCTCACTGCGAGTAATTGCTCAACTTAATGCACTTCCATTAGCTGTACAGATTACAAATATAGTTGGCGGCGTTGCAGTAAGTTGCTTATTGATTACACTTTTGGCATTGCCCGGCTTGGGGGGGGGGTGGGGGGAAGTTCCCAGAAGGCTAGTTTCTCTTACCAGTTCATAACTTGTGGCAGCTGTGGGCTTTCTTTAAGCGAAAACGGAGCCAGTGCTTTTGCATAGCTCTAGGAGAACTAGTCCTCCACAAAAGGCAGTGATCGGTGGGTGATCAATGGGCCAATTATCAAAATACCCCTACCAAGCCAAACAGGGTCACACTTTTTAGCAACTCACATTTGTGAATGTTCGTAGAACTTCCAAAGCATTGCTGCATATTTCTTTACTGGGTAGTTCTTGAAACCGTAGCAATCCATCTTTCAGAACCCACAACTCAGGCCGCGTCCTGCCGTCAGGGAATTTTGCGTTAAATACGCCCGCTTCACCCTCCAAAATTGCCCTCTCTGATACAACCCCGCCCCCCCCCCCTTCCCCCTCCTGCCTACCAGGATAGCATAAATTACTTGTTACTAGTGAAAACTGCAATATCAATATATCTCCTTTTCAGTCTCGCACACTGATGGGAGGCCGAGCTGAACGGAATGAGTTTTTGCTGTTACATGCCTTCTATAAGGCAAACTATATAGCGCCAAATAAGTATACATCAAATTTCAGAAAAGGTAGTTAGATGAGAATTTCTTCCTGTGTTAATTTTTTGGAAGGTTCTAAATGTTGGTTAAGGGAAACAAGAGAAAGAAGTGGGTATCGAAGACGGAGCCGTGAATGATGAGGCCGATAAGGATGACAAGGAGGGAAAATCTAAGAACAAAGCTCAGTATTCCGGTGGTTTGGTATTGGAACCGAAGAAGGGTAAGTTTTGAGCATTAAATTCTACGAATCTGCGCATAATCCTCCGAATTTTGTGGTTCCTTTTGGCTGTTTGGATATACCTCCTGTGAGCATACATGACCTTCGTGGGATAGAAAATCTCGACGGAGTACTTTGCTAACTGAAAATTTCACTTGGTGGCTGGATTTATCTTGCTGTCCCGATTGTCTTCAATAACACTGAACTGAAGCTTTTAATTCGCGTCCACACTTTGCGGCCCAGGAGGTTAGGATCGCGAGTACCGGAAAATGTGCGCTAGCATTCGTAATCGATATCTCACTCTACTCATTTAGCGCGCGTTACCTCATAAACGTCGAGAACTCCGCTACCTCTTTATTCGCTAGTTCTGCCCCATCACTGCTTAGAACTTCTTTGGTGCACGTTTCTCAACATGTTCGTCCGCCGATTCTCCCTACCTCCTACACGCAAATCGCTGATTCACCTTATCTCCCAAGTCCCAAAATATTGAAGCGGCCTTTGGTCTGCTCTTTCGGAAATTTTGAACTTCAGGTCTTTACGACACACTGATACTTCTGCTCGATTTCAATTCCCTGTATCCAAGCATCATCCAGGAGTACAATATTTGCTTCACTACAGTTCCCCATGTTAAGGTGAGTCCCCAGAACAACTTTCGAACTCACAAGAAATCTTGATGGGTACACGCCTTGTAATTGCGCTGGTCGCACACATCTAGTCATGACTCTGCAAACGATGGGGCGTGGTCAGAGTGCAGTCAAAGCAGCCTCTCCCAGAAACTGGGACTCACGATGGAATCATTGATAGAGAAGTCCTACTTGACAGTGCTCCAATCCACGTCCCGTCACACGCCCCGACGCTCGCATGGATCATGACTGTACACAGCTCTACGAAGCTTTCATAAAAGTTAACATTCAGGATGGCGATGAGCTTCCCGAAGTTCCATCATCCAGCCTGTCGGAGGGCATTTTACCGTGCGAAATTCGAGGGCTTGTTGAAAGACGAAGACAGGTGAAAAAGCTCATGAAAGAAGAATCACTGGAAGCGAAGCGAAAGCAGGTTGGGCAACTCAAGCAATATTTTTTTGGAAAGCGACAGTGGAAGTAGCGAATTTCTATTTAGTACGACATCCGTCAAATGGCTCTGAAATTGACAGCAAATAGTATGTATGGATGTTTGGGCTTTCAACAGTCACGTTTCTATGCAAAACCGCTAGCAGCCCTAATTACATCGAAAGGACGAGAGGTTTGTGAGGAGTTCATTTTCCGTAGAAAATTGGTAATGTAGCTGTTTCATTTCTAGATTTTGATGCATACAAAGGATCTTGTCGAGAAGCTCGGTTACTCTGTCGTCTATGGTGATACAGATTCTATTATGATTAACACTAACAGCAATGACCTGAAACAAGCCAAGAAATTGGGATTCGAGGTAGGCGAAGCTTAAACCTTGATTGTTTTTAAATAGGGCATATTTCGAAAGTTTTGTTTCTCCGATCTGACTCATGAGAGCATGCCCGTACTGACTTCCGCCGTATGTGCCGTATATCCGGGGACTCGAGTGGGCGTGGCTGCGTACTTCTTTTGGGAGTGGCAGGGGCTGCGGTTCTGGCGTGTTGCCGCTTTGAGATAATTGTAATAATGTCTTTATTCAGCACAAGATATGATGAGGCTTGGCTCGAATACAGCATTGTAAGTTAGGTGAGATACAGTATCCCCTATAATTCCGCGTGAAACTAAATGCCTTGGCTCCATGAATGAACCTAGTTGGGCTTGTCGGGCCACGCCCATTTCAGTCGTGGACCGACAGGCTCCGCGGTGTGATCAGGATGCTAGAACGATGTTTATTCAGGTCCATCTGACCGAGGGCTGTCTGATTAAAAACTGGGTGGTGCTATGTGCACTTGATGCTCCTCCGCACTCAGTACTACGCGTAATTTTGAGTACTGTATCGCGCGCGAAGTGTAACCGCTGGGACTAGTAAATGCCGTAATTTATCCTTGCTACTTTACGTTACCGCAAGGATGTAACTTGTCGTTGAGAAAGCATTCATACTTCGCAATTCGAGGTGCAATCAGTTCTGTTGCGCGAATGCTCTGGACGCGAAATATAAGGGCCTAATGAGGTATTGGAGCTAATTTTGTACAAAACACGAATAGAAGTAGTCATGTATACCGAGAACCTTGCCCTATATATGCTATGATGTGTTGTATTAGTATTATTTCAGGGCTTCTTACGGCGCTGTTTGGTTTAGGGGAGGGGGGGGGGGAAGATTTTGTACTCCTGCTAGTTTCTATTGCTAGTTCTTCTTGAATTGCACATTGTTCCCTGATGGGACCTGAACTGTTGCTAAATCTGAGCGAAGCTCGTGCTATTTCATAGGTTCACAGGAACTTGCAGTCCATCTACAGCGATGGAGACCAGCAAAATGCCCCACTGCGTCATTTAGTGATTTTGTTTTCAGATTAAGCGTCAAGTGAATCAGTGTCATCGTCTGTTGGAACTTGAGCTTGACGGTGTCTTCAAGCGCATGCTACTTCTAAAAAAGAAGAAATATGCTGCGTTGACGGTGAATCCAGATAATGAACTTGATACGAAAAAAGAGCTGTCGTAAAAGGGGGAGTCCTACACATAGGGGATTTTTGGTCGCATATAAAAATTGCACGAAACGCAACGCTGTGTCATGATTATACTGTGTGTAGCGGCTGGGATTAGCTTAAGCAAAGAAGGCACAGCACACTTTTGTTTTGACAAGCGTTCAAAAAGAATTCAGGGTATTAGCAAATAATATTTCAGGTGTGCATGATATCGACATTATACAATCCTTCGTGTAACTTGAGTAGTCCTAGTACGGAACAAAAGGATCTTCAACGATTGTGCAGTGAGTTTTTATGGATTTTTGGTAGTTTTTCTATGTTACCCGCCCCCATATGATGATCAATTTTTAGTGTTTACCAAACCACATGGCGGCGTGCTACCCTTCGATATAAAGGATCAGCTGACTAGGCGTGGCTTATCGGATATCGTAATGACGGCAGGGAATGAGAAAGCTTTGCTATCTCTGTTTCTCGCGAAAATACAGAAGTATGAACCAGATGTGATCGTGGTAAGTCCACTGATTAGCCTAAATTCGGGCACGATCGTAGGCGCAGGCGTATGTAGCCAACGTCATTAGTGGATGTTATGGCCAAATGCGCTCTCGCAGCCCTTACACCAAAGGCACTGGCAACAAGCGCCCGCCTCCTGCAGTCGTGCTCACTGCCTTTAAGCTCGTTACGAGGCCGTGCTGATCCAAGTCCCACGTTCAACGTCGTTCTTACCTGCTTGCTGTTTAGGGTCATGACCTTTCGGCTTCGATTGCTGTGTTGGTATCTCGTATGGATAAACTCAAAGTGGCGAACTGGTCGAGAACGAGTCGTTTGAAACGTACGGTAAATGTGGGCAAAGTGGCCCATAACAAAGCAGGACAATGGGAGTTAACCGCGGGTAGATTACTGGTGGATTCAAGGTGAAAATCTAACGGCCACTTGTGCATCATTTAGTTTTGTGGGCATTCATTTTGCTTGTGGTTTTTAGGCTTTCTGCTATGGAACTAGTACGGTCCCGTAGCTACGACCTATCCGAGCTTGTCGTGCAGTTGCTGGGAGACCAGAGAGAAAATATTTATGCAAACGAAGTGAGCGCGAAATTCAGGTGGGCCTTGAAACTTCAGAAAACCATTTCGTCGTCATGTGTTCATTTTTTAAATTTTCCCCATTCAAGCTCTTCACAGCAGCTACTCAACCTTATTCAGTGGAGTTGGATGGATCCATGGTTCTCACTGCGAGTAATTGCTCAACTTAATGCACTTCCATTAGCTGTACAGATTACAAATATAGTTGGCGGCGTTGCAGTAAGTTGCTTATTGATTACACTTTTGGCATTGCCCGGCTTGGGGGGGGGTGGGGGGAAGTTCCCAGAAGGCTAGTTTCTCTTACCAGTTCATAACTTGTGGCAGCTGTGGGCTTTCTTTAAGCGAAAACGGAGCCAGTGCTTTTGCATAGCTCTAGGAGAACTAGTCCTCCACAAAAGGCAGATCGGTGGGTGATCAATGGGCCAATTATCAAAATACCCCTACCAAGCCAAACAGGGTCACACTTTTTAGCAACTCACATTTGTGAATGTTCGTAGAACTTCCAAAGCATTGCTGCATATTTCTTTACTGGGTAGTTCTTAAACCGTAGCAATCCATCTTTCAGAACCCACAACTCAGGCCGCGTCCTGCCGTCAGGGAATTTTGCGTTAAATACGCCCGCTTCACCCTCCAAAATTGCCCTCTCTGATACAACCCCGCCCCCTCCCCCCCCCCTTTCCCCCTCCTGCCTACCAGGATAGCATAAATTACTTGTTACTAGTAAATTACTTGTTACTAGTGAAAACTGCAATATCAATATATCTCCTTTTCAGTCTCGCACACTGATGGGAGGCCGAGCTGAACGGAATGAGTTTTTGCTGTTACATGCCTTCTATAAGGCAAACTATATAGCGCCAAATAAGTATACATCAAATTTCAGAAAAGGTAGTTAGATGAGAATTTCTTCCTGTGTTAATTTTTTGGAAGGTTCTAAATGTTGGTTAAGGGAAACAAGAGAAAGAAGTGGGTATCGAAGACGGAGCCGTGAATGATGAGGCCGATAAGGATGACAAGGAGGGAAAATCTAAGAACAAAGCTCAGTATTCCGGTGGTTTGGTATTGGAACCGAAGAAGGGTAAGTTTTGAGCATTAAATTCTACGAATCTGCGCATAATCCTCCGAATTTTGTGGTTCCTTTTGGCTGTTTGGATATACCTCCTGTGAGCATACATGACCTTCGTGGGATAGAAAATCTCGACGGAGTACTTTGCTAACTGAAAATTTCACTTGGTGGCTGGATTTATCTTGCTGTCTCACCAGGAAAGGTCAACAGGTCAGCCTGGCCATATTGCAATGAGATGCACATCATTGTACTCATCTTGAGACGGTGAACTCAAAACTATCTTCAAAATTTGCGGAACGATTCTCTGAGCGGAGTTATGGAGGTTTCTTTACTGTTTTTCTTCTTCCGGGCGCGCTGGCGCCGAAGCGTTGGCACATGTAGCGCGACTCACAGCGCTCTTCGCGCAAAACAGGTATCATATTCGTGTTCAGGGGGTCAAATAACCCCTAGACGGCACCTTAGCGAAATCTGAGGTTCTGACTCAGCTTCGAAAAAATGGGGTAAGGTTAGTAGTCATGGCTGACTGGTAGCCAACAGCGATACTGCGACTAGCATACTGATGATGACTGGTCTGCGAGCTGAAATAACTCTTCAGTCCTGTATTTTCGCAAAGAACAATACCTGGCTCACTTATTCGTGCCGCCTGCATCATTTTCCTGATTACCGGTAGGAAATTCCATCCCAAGACCAGTCATCCATGGTGGGTGGACCCCAGCCTGCTGCTAATTGTCCATAGAATGGCCCACATTTTCCAAGTTAGGTCGAAACGTCAGATTTGGCTAGAAACTTGTCCCCAGGGGTAAATTGACCCGCTGAACATGGATATCATGGTATTTCGTTGCAAAAACCCTTGTGACATGTGTTACGAGGGGACAAGCACAAGCACTCTTTCAGCCATAATGGGTCTACACTTTCAAAAAAACTGATCGCAGGTCCCCTTACAGGATGGTGCAGGCGAGCAGAGATGTTAGAAGCCTCGTCTGCCATATTCTTGGACAAATGCAAAAATGTGCTACCCGCCGGACTTGATCCCACGACGTCTCGCCTAGGAAACCCACTCGCTATCCGTTGCGCTCTACTACCACGTTTCAGAAGGACTCCATACATTTATGTTTATGTAAAGACGCTTCCACGTTTGCTCGCGATAGCATGTAAACAACTACGCGGGGATAAACCCTCCATAACTCCGCTCAGAGACTCGTTCCGCAAATTCTGAAGACAGATTTGAGTTCACCGTCTCAAGACGCGCACAACGGTGTGCACCTCATTGGAAATGGCCAGGCTGACCTGATGACCTTTTCCTGGTAAGGTTAACGTGAACAGTCCGTTAAAGGCTACTGTCATTTCCACCTAGAAAGGCTGAGTTATTTGCTTTTGCATTCTATTATTCAGTAAGCATACCTTCAATCGTACTCCGTGGCCGCAGTAAAAATTCTTAAACGTAAGTTGACTGCTGTTGAGACAACAAGAAAATGGCACACCACCAGCTTCAGGAGAAGCGACCTAGAAAAATTGTAAAAGTAAACTACAAATTAGAATCAAGTTGCAGAAAAATCGAAAAGTTGTTTTCATGTTGCCGCTTCTGTGAACATCTGCTTAACCACCTGATGGTCTCGTGGGATGGGGGAAAGGGTCTTATCAGAGGGGGATATCTTGATTTCGTGCTTTGTAAAAAATTTTCCCCAACGGCAGGACTGGCAGGTGCACCAAAACGGAAGCATTGCTCGTCGCGAGCAATTCATTTCATGGGTTCCAGTATTTCATACAGGAGCAAACTAAAATGTTCTCGGGAATCAAATGGTAGAGAGAAGGTAAACCTCAAATAAGCCATTTTAATGAGCAAATTCGAGAGCTGTTTGGCTTGGAGGGGACATTCTGAGTATTTTACTGCTTTTGGTAGTTGGATGAACTGGGCCCAGTTGTTAAGCTCTATAAACTGCTGTGGAGCTGTGAAATTGCTCGAGTGAGTCACTTTGGTCACAGGAATTGACCTCCCAATGTGAACTGCACAAACTTATCTGAGCGCCATCTGGTGTCCCTCTAGGCCCGAACTACGCGGTTTTGTTCGGATTACCTTGTTCAAAAAAAGCAGTGAT